TGTCCAAGTGCTCAGCATGGTTGATTTTATGAAGCAGTTATTTCAGAAGAACTCAACACTTTTGGGGATTAAATTCAGAAAATCGAATGCTTTGTGGACTCTTACTTATATATTCAAAGTGATTTTAATTGTATTTTGACGAGGTACTAAGTACAGTACTGCTTGTTAATGTAGTGCAAAACATTGGATTTAATAACACATATTTTAACAGCATCATTCTGCAGATGTTTTTATGCAGACCAAAGAGATCTTAAATAGTTTGAAGAGTAATTATTAAATTTAATTTTTTTCGTTCTAAGTAAAGTTTTCACTTGGATTTTTTGAAAATGAACACCCCTAGTGACAAAACCTATTCAATTGTAAATAAATCATTAAACTAGAATCATTTGTGCATGCTTTTAACTACAAGTAATGGATGAAACCAACACTATAAAACTGTAAAACTTAAGTATCGATAGAAATCGCCAAACAAACGTTTTAATCTTAAGAAATAAAATTACACTATCAAAGAAACATATGAAACCTTCGTGACAAAACGTTATTGTCAAACACATTTGAAGCTTATGGAACAATGTGACTCTATCAAAAAAACCTAAGAAACCTCACTTACAAAAACATTGTCAGAGACAGACACTTTTGAAGCTAATGGATGGATATGAAACTGTCAAAGAAATCTATCAAAGCTACATTGCAAAACAGTATTGTCAGAGACACTTTTTTAAGCTTTATCAGGTATACAATACTATCAAAAAGCACTGAAAACTTATATGACAATACTCGCCACAAGAACTTGAAACTTAAGCGACAATATGGTACTGCCATAGTAGGTTTCAAGCGACAATATGGTACTGCCATAGTAAGTTTCAAGCGACAATATGGTACTGCCATAGTTGTTGTTTGTTTGTTTTTTCTAATTTACGAAATCATAAAATATTGCCAAAGAGATTTTAGAAATAGAATATACAATATGATACTTTGAAAGATATATTTGAAATAACAATATCCAAGAATGTTCTGTTAAATGTTAAAGTATCTATTTGATTTGAATAGTCTCTGATCTGTATAATTTTTAAAACATAAGTTACACAATTCTATTGTATGGATAACTGTCACTTTCATAATTTCAAACCTTAGCTACAAATAACAGATATAAGCAAAATAACACAAATAAATCCTCCTTCAATAGCATTCGCTGATCGAATACTGTTTATAGATACCGTATATGTTTCTTAACAGTTGCCTGGTCATGCACAAATAGAACTTTAACATGTATTAGCGTAGAAGCAACTTAACATCAGAGAAGCTTTTTGAGGATTAATTTTATCTCTGCAAACAATAGACTATGATAAGCTGAATTTAAAGTTTTTAGACGCTACTACAGTGTTTGTTGAATATTTAAATTTTATCTTTCAACGTTCTTAAGACTTAACAGAAACTACAGCTGTGGACCTGAGGGGGGAGTTGGGCATCAAGAGTGGCATTCAGAAACGTTGACGCTAGTCGTAAATTCCCATAATAGTCTTCCTCTGATAGATGTATCGCTTACTATCTGTTGGGTTCTTCGCGCCTAATTCTGATTAATGTGCCTTTTGACTATCTCCTTCCGAGTGAAACTTCCCAAAATCCGTAGCTAGAAACCATCTGCCAAATTATCTTGCATGTATTAAGAAGGGGAGGGCAGAAGGGTCAGCTATTGTTGAGCTGCCTATCTGCTTAGGGGGAAACAAATTCCTTGTTTCAGGCAAGTCGCTCTACATATGTATATATATGAACACTGCTCATACACTCACCGCTGGTATCTTGTTGACCCTCAATCCCAAGCATACAACAACACTTTTTCCCGCTGGCCACACAATAATGCGGGAATGTGGGGGAAAGGTTGGAAGCTGGGGAAAACACGAAGCCGACTTCACTTTAAGAAGCGTCCACAAGAAGCTACCTATTGGAAGATAATAGTGAGGAAGAAAAAAGGTGGGCTGGTTAGCCTCTCATGGGAAAATTGGCTACCGATTGGACACCTGTGTAATGGCCATCTACAAGATGATTAACTTTTTCTTTAAGAAGAGGGTGGAGGATGTCATTTAGTCCATTAGTGGCCAGAATAGGAGGACTAATTAGGAACGGGGTCAGAGAGTTCAGAGCTATATGACACTGTATGGTTCTCATGGAAATAATACATGGGTCATTTGTAAACAACATGGCTGCAGGGTAAAAGAGAAGGAAAGAACAAGAAAATGCTGGTGGACACAGAAATGTAAGTCGTTAGACATATGGGAAAGCCACCTGGTGAGCTTACAACTTAAAACTTGCGTGCCAATAGTTACGCTAATCTTATGGCTCTGGCCTGAGAAGATCCTAAGTAGACAGGCCACACAGGTGATTTTACTTTCATCCGTTCATAAAGATAATTCTCTCGTTTCCCGCAGAGACCGCCTGTTCTGCAACTTTACCATACTTAGTATATACCCAGTGAAGGATGGACCTAATAAACTTCTTGTTTACAAGGTAATACAATGACGTTTCGCTGTATTCTTATTCGTACGCTATAGTCCCATTCAAGTTAAAGATAAAAACAACAATGTTCATACTAGCCTCTTCCGATGGCGTAGCAACTAGTCCTCTGCATGAGGAACAACAAGTACCAAATTAAGATTAGGAAGGACGATACTTGTATAAATTATCACACAGATGTGTTAAAGAAACAAAGTCAAAGTTTAACAGTGCATAATAAATATTTTAAAATGTGACAGTTCTGAATCACAAAGTACAATAAAACTTGTTTTACTTAATAATATTACTAGATAAAGATAAAATAAAATACTCTGAAACTGTATACTCTACATGTTTTGACGTCTTACTGCGTCATCATCAGGAATGCAGTATTTTGTATGAGTTAAGACCTATATACAATTTTAAAAATCACATGATCAAATATACATACAATCTAACTTAAAGAATTTCACACCATCTACTAGCAACATTTATCACTGGTCCTTCATTTCTAGTTAATACTTCAACATTACTTTTATTACATTTGATTATCTCAATATTTTCACGGATATCATTACCATTGGTGTTTGCATGTTGTGCTAATATAACAGCTTTTTTTTTTCATGAAATCATCAATATGGTGAAACTAATGAGATAATCAAATGTATTAAACTTTCAAAATAAGTACAATACTTCAAGCTTTCCTATTAAGCGTTCATGATTAGAATACCAATCCCATATCAAAATATGATAGCGAGAAACCATTTATTACCAAGTTATCGACCAAATAAACGCCCTAGGACAATACATCCTGCTTAGGGCTACGTTAAAGCTTACTGGAGCAAGTTGTATGGAGAGGACTTGAAAGTATGATCAGGGTTAGTGTCAATGCGAGACCCAAGTTTTCCATACAAATTAAACACATATGACGCTATGGAGGTCTGTTGGGGTAAATACAGAGTTTACACAGAAACGAATGCTTCACCACCGAAAAGGTGCATAATAATAATTTAAACTAATACCCTGGTCTGTGCAGACCTATATACCCTCACATTTTCACCTAATGTCTGTTCCGTTCAGAGAACATATAAAACAGCTTTCTATGAAATCTCGTTCATTGCATATGCATGTAGGCATAGCAGTTGATAATCCTCACTGTCGTCCGCTAGCGTCCTGCAGAGCTTATAAAAGGAAACTTAAAAGAGATTGAGTCGAGCATTCGTATGCTAATTTTGCTATCTATCTACTTCCTCGGATTTCATGTCTTCTGATGTTTACTGCAAAGCCTACTTTAGGGCTTTGCAAAACTCGTCACACACTATTGTGCTACAGTGTGGACGAATTGGTTCAACTTAATTTAAGTGCGAGATTTAGCACTCTTGACATGTTTATGACTACAATTATTTCAGTTGCTGAAACGGAAGCACATAAAGAAGAGACCGTAAGTTTTCATGTAGATAAAGTAACGATCCCTAATGATAGATGCTGAGTTCTTACGCTTTGTCTTGACTTAAATAAGAAGACTCTAAATGGATCTAAGCAGCCGATAAGTCTACCTAGGACACGAAAGTGATTGTGTCAGAATACTTTTCCCAACTTTGTCATAAATAATTCGACATTACTAGACAGTCCCTAACTTTTTTACGTATACACAGAGAAGAAGTAAGTATAAGAAAATTATTACTAATATATAATTTACACACAGATTAATTACTGATAATGTGGAATGTAGAAACTGGTCGCTTAGTTAATAATTGATGAAATACTGAATTTGTCACTTTTAACCTTGTTATTATATTCTTAAGAAACACATACATACACAACAGAAGACATGGGTAAGTAATCACACGGCATATAAGTAACTGTGTGAAGAACTTGTTTTTCTGTTTATAGTGTGAATATCAACTTCAGAAATAATTTCAGTACATTGGAAAATAAAATATTATCCTTCTTCGAAAGTGAATTGGGTAATTCTTGATAGGTGTAATCAAATTTTAACAAACATTTTCAATAGTTAACACATTGCCCTTAAACGAGAATATTTCTGTTCATTTCAGGCATAGTTCCTTAGATAAAAGGCTTGAATTAAATATGTTCTTAAGCCTAATAGAGAACATCACTAGAAGCTGCCCATTACACAATTTTAATCTGTATTTAATGTAAGGTTGCAGATGTTATCGCAGAATTCTATCTTAACCATAACTGAAACATTCAATAAAATATTATTGTAATTGGACCTATAAAATCACAACGTGAAAATTAAATGTATAAATTTATGTGTAATTATTTTCTAAAGGGAAATGTTTTTTCTGCAAACTTGATCTGCCTATAGTTTACATTTAGACATCAGTCCATTGCAATGGAGTATTCATGACCTACTGCAATGAATTTTCTTTAGAAGGTCATGAGTACTTCATTGCAATGGACTGATTGACTGATGGATTGGGGAGACTCTATCAATTAAATAATATTGTAATCGTGAGATTGACAGAAAACGTAATAATACTTACCTCCTTTGCGACTGGTCACTAGAACTGGTGAAATAAGAAAAAATAGGATAACGCTTTGCCAAACTGAAAGTCTCCACATTTTCGGTGTTCTCTTGTTTGCTCCTTCCCAAGTCAGTGATTCAAACCTATGGAGAATAAGTATAAAAGATATATATTTGTCTGTTTACATCAAAAACTAACTATTGTATTTTAAAAAATCTGGTGTTTCTGTCACGAGTAAAAAACAGCATGTGTCCGTCATATAAGGTTTCCACAAATTATATCTGATTCAGTTCATAGTATACCGAAAAAAAGAACTTGTGATGAAACCATAAACATGTTCTTTCTCATTTTTTTTTCGTGCCTGTAATTTATAGTGCAAAGTTTTCTCGTGAATGATAATTTATACAAAAAAAGACTTTTTAAACATGTTATGGAAATGTTTTGAAATTTTTGATAGAAAGAAAAGAAAGCAAAATGCTTTTAAACATTTAACTAGAATCTTGACCTTTTTTGGATACTAATTCCTTGCAGTAAAAGAACACTCAGACAGAAACTCCCGCCAAGTAAACACCGTACAAACAATGCTACATATGTACTATAGGTTCAGTAATTCTCATCAAGAAGCAATATACACAAATATATATATATATATATATAAACTGCTACACATGCTATCTGATCCTAACAAGTAAACACTATATAAAGTGTTAAACTTCTTCTTCTCTGTAACGACTTTAATCCCAAGTAATTTGGGGTCAGCCAGTATTTTTGTAAGCCAATAATTTTTACACCACCGTAAACAGTGTTACATAAACTATAGTTAAGTAACTTCCACGAAATAAACAATATGTAAACATAGTTACATAAATAGCTCCCAACAAGTAAACAGTGTATAAACAATGTTACATAGGCTACAGGTTCGTTAAAACACTCACTAGATAAACATTACATAAACACTGCTACAGGTCCAGTAACTACAGCAACTAAACAAAATAAAATTACCAAATAAGTTATAGGACTGACTAACTTCCAACAAGTCTACCATACAGGTTCATTAACTGCAGAAAGTAAACAATATAAAAAGGTTGAATACGTTATAAGACTGACTAACTTCCAACAAGTCTATGCTACATGAATACTGCTTTGGGTTCATTAAGTACCGCAAGTAAACAATGTAACACTGTTAAATACGTTATAAGACTGACTAACTTCCAACAAGTCTATGCTACATGAATACTGCTTTGGGTTCATTAAGTACCGCAAGTAAACAATGTAACACTGTTAAATACGTTATAGGACTGACCAAATCCCAACAAGTCTACGCTACATAAACACTATAAAGCCTAAAAGTTCGGTAACTCAGAAGCCTTCAATACGTAAGCAACACTACCAGTACAAGTATTTACGGAATTTATAGCCTTAGTTACATCCGCCACCAAAGGTGGACGGAGGTTATGTTTTCCTCCGTGTGTGTTTGTCAGCACTATTTCTCAAAAAACGGCTGAATGGTTTTGTACGAAAGTTGGTATACATTTGTACTATGATCCAAATTGGAAGTAGTTAGTTTTAGGAGCGTCAGTGGCAAAGGTTAAGGTCAGAGCAATGTCATGAAAATCCAAAAAATCCCTATCTGTTAACATGGTGACCGATTTTTCAGACTATTTTTGTTCTATAACTCAGTCAAAAATGAGTTAATTTTAATGAAACTTCTTGGACATATGTAGAATATAATTCTTAATTGTCCTGACAAAATTGGTTTGTGTCCGTTAATAACGACGGATATACGGACCCATTTTCGTATTTTTCGAGAGCCGAATATGATCAACGCCGCGTGGCGGAGGCATGCGCTCTACTGAGTGCCACTTTAGTTTACACTTTTTTTTTAACACCACTCAATAGGTCATAGGTGTGGTACTTCAGATCAAGTCTACACCAAATAACTCCAGTTAAATAGGTTTGGTAACCAACATATGCGACTGCATTTTATCAGTTCGCACTAATGTAACTGTATATTTTCAGGTTCAGTGTTACTTAGTAGCATATATATATTCTATACCGATATTTAAATCTTACGCAGTTGAACAGCTCATGGTCTTTATGTTGGGTAAATCCGAGTAAATAAAGAGCATATAAACTTGTTAGGCTTGTTGTAAGTTCGGTAACTTCCACCAATTATACGCTATAGTAACATTGCTATATAAGCTATAGGCTCGATAACTCCGACCAAATAAATAGTGTATAAAATTGTTAAGTTTGCTTTAGATTCAATAACTCCCTCCAAATATCACCTATATTAACATTGCTACATGGGTTATAGGTTCAGTGAACATTGTTCGAAAGGTTACTGTCTAGGAGAATATTATCAACTTATTTACATGTACTTATCTATCTAATGTCTGTTCATATCAACTCGCTGATAACACTCAAACATGCACGTGACACTTTGTGATATTGAATAACAAAGCTACTTGACGCAAGAGATAGAACCAATTCAATATTTACCACGTAGAATTAACTTAAGCATATGCATATATATACGATAAAGAAACGACAGCAAGATGTACTAACGGAAATCAATGACGATATGTCTTATCTATAGGAAATGTTTGAATTTCCGAATGCTTCTGTTCTTTGAATATATACAGACAAATAACACCTGGTACCAATGTCGTACTTTACGAATCATTATTATATACAACGTAACGTTGTAATATGTTTCGTTGTATATCTATTTAGTTAGTTTGTTTGTTTTTTAATCTCCAGTATAATGGATTACTAATCGATTTCTAAGCAAATAAATTAATACAGTACTGCTTGACTTCTAAGTTAATTTGCTGTGTTAGCTCCATTAGACAGCTTATAACTGCCAATTTGTTTGTTCGTTTGTTTGTAGTTAATCACAAAGCTACGCAAAGAGTTCTCTGTCCTGTGCCTACCACGGGTATCGAAATCCGGTTTATGGCGTTATAAGTCCACAGACTTACCGCTGAGCCACTGGAGGGACCAGCATTTTGTTGGAATACAAGATTAAAAGAAAAGGGTATAAATAAATCATTATAACCAGTAATACTTCTTAGAAAAAGAGATCCATTTTTTAAGCTATTTGACGCGTCAGAAAAAATACAACAATTATTAGTTCTTTTAGGAATTACAGGTGTGAAATACAACTGTGTGTGATTTACATAAACGTTTCTTGATTGCAGTAGAGAATAGAACTAAAGCCCGAAAACACTTCTATATAATTAACAGATCAACTAGTTGGGCGTAACCATGGAATAATTTTTTTACATGGCTGACGTCGAGTGATTGTGCCTGGAAGGAGACACTACTTATACAGAGGGTTTGTGTTAGCAAAAGTGAGAAACATCCGCGTGTTTTAGCATATTGGTTGACGAATAATAAGGCGGAGGTTTTCAAAATTCAAAGTTAAAAATTCACGATGGACCTTCTGTTTCAGTGCGTGCATGGCGGTAACAACTTAGGATATAGAGAAATAAGTTTAGATAATGGTGAAGACAAAAAGATAAAATTTTCATCGGCTAATTTTTTCTAGTCACGTGTGTGGACAGTTCTTTACACTGTGTCCTCCTCGGAGAAATAATAGTGCATTCAAACCTAGAAAGTCACGCAAGATATAAAAGGATTTATCCAACCTGAAACCAAATCTTGCTTGTTTTTCACAGACAGGTGGTATATAAAAACACTACTCATGTTATTACTCGTATTACTTATACATGCATAAAATGAACTTTCAACGAAACTGAACCATCCTGTTAGTTGTTGTAATTCGTTCTTGTCCTTAGGCATGGTCGTTAGACTGTGACCACTAGCGTTACTTGAACTGTAAAGGCAGGTGAATGGGCCTTTATCCAATGCTGAATGTTATTTAAAAAATTTTCTCAAACTTTAAAAGTTGTATATCGGCTTATAAGTACCAAAAATCACCATTAAAGCGGCAAATGACGTAAGCCAGTTGAATTAATGTTTAGCAGTAACATCTTTACTCAGTTTCCTTGCTCACTTGCTAAACCCTACCATGTAAAATCTGAAGTCAACTACAACCTGTAGAAGCTAGTTTATAGACCAAACTTCGTGGAGTAATTGCTCCCCCACACAATTTGCACTATCCTAATAAGGGCTAGACATTCTGCTATTATTCTCAAACAAAAATTTGTTAAATCTTACAATTTTTTTTATTAAAGAAGTCATTATAAGCTACATGCACCAGCCAAAATTTAAGAACTATTGTTTTAATCACATATTATTGTCTAGAAAAAAAAAGAGTTCAGAAGGAGTGTGCTATGTGGAGTTACGCCTCTTAGGGCTGGAACCCGCACGAAAAGAAGGCGTGTTACGCACGATGTATACATATATATATATATATATATATATATATATATAGTCCGCAAGCCTGTTCTAATTAGCAAAAAATAGTATAATCTGATACAATGACTACATTTATTACTAATAAAAACTTTTCAAGGTAAGTATATATATATATTCTACTGCTGTACTTCAGTTAAATGTTCTAACCCTATACACTCACCAGTTCTCACTCACTATATACAAATTGTCTATCAACGTACACATATGTTTTATGAGGCACCAAAGCAGAAACCACGAATAACTATATATGCATCACATAGTTCATATGCCACACTCACAATACTTCATTCCATTAAGATGTCGTTGTCACATATGAGATCAATCTGTGATTTGAACCCGAGACCAGTCATTTATCGATTGGTGGTTTCAATCATCTACAGAACAATTCTTTGTACATCTATACCTGTCTTGTTGTAACTAGTACATTTATTTATCCATTAATATCTCTCTTTCTTTCACTATTTATCTCTTTTTTGTTCATATCTGTCCATCTATTCATCCTTACATCATTTATCTACCTATTTACGAAAAGCCTGCATCATCAAATAGAGTAGTGCATCAAGTTGAAACAGTTCTTATATTTTTATCAGTGTTGTTATAATTCAGTCATGAGGCCAAAACAACTCCCTACCCTGCGACTCTGCTCCGAGTGATGTGGTGGAGGCAGGGAGGATGTCAAGTGGAACGCCTCAACTATTGGTTTTGTGTCGGTACCCATTACACGTAGCCGTTAATAGAGCCAAAGTTGCCAGAGAGT